AGAGCCTATACAGTATTGTGTTCATAATATGTGACGTCACTGAAGGCCTAAGGTTGAAATGCACGGCCCGCCACTGCACGCGCGCGCACACGCACACACACACATGGGCAGCACAGTGCACAGCTGATTGGCACATCGGCCCTACAGTACAGATGTGCAGGGTTCAATTCCGGCTCCGGGCTTCCTGTGTGGAGTTTGCATGTTCTCCCTGTGCCTGCGTGGGTTTTCTACAGGTACTTTGGTTTCCTCCCACAAACATGACAGGTTGGTTGATTGGGCACTCAAATTGTCCCAAGGTGTGATTGTGAGCATGAATGGTTGTTCGTTTATGTGTACCCTGCGATTGGCTGGCAACCAGTTCATGGTATAACCCGCCTAGTGCCCAAAGACAGCTGGGATTTGTAATTGAGTGTGTGTGTGTGTGTGCGTGCGTGCGTGCGTGCGTGCGTGTGTGTGTCTGTGTGTCTGTGTGTGTTTGGGATTAATCTAAGGGCCACTCAAAAGGCCACTCTCAAAGTGCAGCTCGTGGGCCGCCGCCAGATGCCCATCCCTGTTCTCTATACTCACACATTGTGTCAACGAGCTGAATAGTTTTTATATTCAATTAATCATCTACATTGGTCTATTTTACCTGACATTTTTTTGGACTGAAAGTGGAGATATCGCATTGTGTAACTGTAACAATCCAGTAGGCTACTGTCTCATCTTATTCATAGGGTGCGTAGAAAATGATGAGGGCGACAAGATATATGAGTGGTTACTTTTGAGAATGAACATTATTACAGTTTAATGTAATATTAGTGTTATTATTATTATTATTATTGAGAGTAATATTGACAAGTGTACTTGACTTAATTGAAGTCACAATGTTTTGGTGGTTCATACAAATGTTTACATCTCATTATGATTGTCATGTGCAGTATTTGCAAGGAAAAGGGAAAAAAACGGATATTGTCCACTGTATACGTATTCTTTTCCATGATATAAAAACAGGTTCATTTTTTTGTTTCAACAATAAACTCCACTCCCGTGGCATCATCTCAATATGATAAATGGAGATCTGTCTGAAGGACTTTATTAGTTCCCTTCAGTGGCGGACCCTGAGGGCCAGCAAGGCCTTCTCTGCTGGCCTAAACATTCTCAGAAAAATAAATTTACTTTAATGTATTTTATGTTATTTTATAATTTATGTGATTTTATTTTCATAAATATGTAAACAAAATTATTCTCTGTATTCTTTACATCATATTATTTCCACTTAGTTGAGTGGCTGTTATTTTAAATAACATTGAAAGCCACTCGATAAATAACTTATTTATTATGGTAGAGTTTTTAACCAATCATATTTCAGCTAGCTTGCGTTGCCAGGTAAATATAACTTGCTCGGGGCCTTCAGATTAAACAGAGCAGGCCCCTGTGCACTGTAAGTGAACGGGCACAGTCAGGTTTCAATAGCCAATCAGATCACGAGTCTGACACTCGTGATCTGTATCCTGTATCCTGACTTGTTCTCGCTGCATACTAGGGCTAGCGAGAAGGCCTTACGTCGAGACTGGCCGTGCGC